TCTTCGTCTCATCTCTGCTACTTCTTTCTCCATCTCTTCGGCTCCACCATGAAAATCCACCATCCACCCCAAGTATAAAGTATACAGCTCCCTATGCATAAGCTAGTACAAGATTGGAAATTCTTGTTAGAATTGAATGTATGTAGTTGATAAAGGTAGGTTCCTATGGAAAGCAGTCAATCAATCAGTGGGGTCTAATTCTTTATTGTTTATGTAGATTCCTTCCAGGATCAGGAAGTCACAGCAATTATCCATTTATAATTCTAATTCCAGAAGTAGATTGATCCCAACAAAAGTATCAGTCCGGCCCAGCCCTAGACAACTGTTTTCCACCTACAGTCCGGCCCAGCCCTAGACAACTGAGGTCCACCTACAGTCCGGCCCAGCCCTAGACAACTGAGGTCCTAATGTGCACTAATAGTTATGGCCAGTCACTATCTACACATTCACCTAGTGTGGTGCACCACCTAGGACAACATCCACCATTGACATGTGTCAATATAATAAAACAAAACAAAAAAAATCTGGTATCATCATGCTACTGTCTGACATCATTTAGTTTTGTGGTATGAACTTCCTGAACCAGGGTGGTAAGTTGATGCCTCGATATATCATCAACCTATCCTATAAATTAAGTCAAGTCATCTAGTTGTCCTGTTACAAGGTCCTTTTCATTTTGAAGTTAATACAGCAAACCCATCCTTTGGCAATTTATCTTTGTGATGTAGTTAAGAAGAAAGTCCTTTCCAAGGATCCTATCTTGTGAAATTTTGCAAATTACAAATTCGTGTGGCAATGCTTCTTTCCCAAAAGATACATCCAGTACAATGGTCCTGATGTTCTCTATTAAATTCCCATTTACATCCTGAATGTCAGAGGTTGCAGGCCGTATGTTAAAGCTAGTTTCCTTTGAGAGTTTAGTAAAATTTTTAACTAAATAATCCATGCAGTCGATCCACTATCCTAGAAAATATATTGTTTTGTCAAATATGTTTCCTTTTGTATAAAATCCATTGTCCCGTAAGAGAGTTATATCCCCTGTGTGGCCATTCCTAGTATGTTCATTTCCAACAGAAAGACATTCCTCTTGTGCCGACTCCTGACTTAATGATATCTGTTATCTCTCATGTTTCAACTGCCATGTCTTTTATTCAGGTTAGAGGTCGGGGTCATCTGTTGTCCTCTTGTCCATCGGTCTGGGCAGTCCTTCATGAGATGATCTGGTGAATTGCAGATGAAGCAAGTCCAAGAGTTATTGCCCTTCCGAGGTTCCATTCTCTGTGCACTTTCCAGTTTCTCTAATCTATTGATTAGTGACTTGATTGTATCCTCTAAGTTATTTGATTTTTGCTCTCCAGTGGGCTGTTTGACTGCTTGTTCTTGATCCACATGTCTAACATTTATTTTCTTTTTATCCCCATCCCCCATTATTGACTCGTATCTCTCAATGACGTCTACCGCTTCTGCAACAGTGCTACACTCCTTGTCAATACAACGGCATTTCATTTCAACGGGAATAATTTTGTAAAGGTGGTTCAGGGCCAGTGATTCCTGAGCGTCAATGTCCAAGTTACTGTAAGCTTTTTGTGATAATTGCCGTATATCGTCTCCAACATCTGCAATATCTTCTCCAGGCATCCGCCTACGCATTTCCAGTTTTGAAAGCCACCTATTTTTGTGCTTTGAACTACCAAATCTCTGGTCCATACGCTGAACAAGAATTTTAAACGTGCGTCTTTCCTCAAGTGTTAGGCTCATGTAGAAAGTCCTGGCTTGTCCACGTAAGCTAGCGGCTAAGAAAAGAAGTTTAGTCCTGTCGTCCCAGTGGCTAAGTTCAGCGCAGTCTTGAAAGTGAGAAAAGTATTCCTCCCAACTTTCTTTTTCCATCGTAGGGTTCGGGTTTGATCATAAGTGTAGAAATGCGATTGTGATCACTTTGTGCGTCGTCAGCTAACTGATAATCAGATCGCCGACGGAAATTATGTCCTCCTTCGTCGTCATTGTCATCACTGTCATCTCTTTCCAAAGGATTTTCATTTGCCATTAAATATTCGTCATCAGTGTTCCTCCCACAGACATCTGTTTCGTCCCCTTGGCCTAACTGAACATTTTCCTTATGTTCATTTATAAATACTACAGGATCCGGCGAAGTAGCATCCTCCATTTTTAACTATAAAAACAGTAACAAGAACATATGTACATCGTTATTTTAAAAATAGATTTTTTTTCCTCCACCACACGACAGTCCGCAATCCACTCTATTTCAGTACTTGACAGGTATTAAAGTACGGGTTCGTATCCTAGATGTCCTCGTATATGGTAGGACATCCCACTTCTGACACCAAAAATTGTAAGCTTCCTCAGCACCCTGTCAAATGCCAATCAGCTTACAATGTTTCCATCCCGTGTAAATTCAATAAATTATATTTTTATCAGGACTACTCATGACATCCGTCCACATATAAAAAAAAGGGGGGCATCCTCAGCCCGTCACATGTATTTAAACACCCTTGATAATTTACTTCACATCCTTGTAAATCATAACCAAGTTCCATTTTTCGTTTCAAATATTTCATTTAATAAAGACTTCAAAGTTCAATGAAATATAACAAAACAGTCAGTACATCTATGAGTATATAAAGTCCTAGCTTAACATCTCTGGCCTAATAAAACACAGTGGATTGCGGTGTCCGTGCGGTGGAGAAATTATACACTACTTAATTTGTATTAGTTTACATTATTTTCTTTTACCTAAGTCACTAGTAATTTACAGTCAGTGATGTTGATGACATAATATGATCTGATCGTTACGATCGTCGTGATGAAACTGGCGTTCGCTGCTCATATATATAACCTTCCATAAATGGTCACGTGATCACAACAACCAATGAATAATTGTCCTTTCTGGAGCAACTCGGAACTACTTTACATACATTTTGTGTAATACAAAGAAAATAACATCGCTCAAAATGTCCTTTCTACATGTAAAGTGGGAGCTATAAATTCTATTCGATATACATTAGAAAACAAGTTCAACAAACAATCTGTAATAAAACGGACACACACAATCCATGGCGTAGTAATACCGAACAATAATGCAAACACATAAGTATTACGCTACACATTCAAGTTCCAAAACATTTCGTCAAATACAGCATAATTAATGGCAATAGCTGCAATAAAATAACATTTAAGTATCAATTATGAATATTTGAGGACACGGACAGTGTTATTTCGATCTTATCAATTGTAAAACAACAATGTTTATGTCACATGACTAATTTCTTCGTAAGAAAGATGGCAGGCGCCCAATTTACAACACATGTGATAATGCTGAAATAAGTAAGTAAATTACAGTCGTAATATGGTAGATAATGATGAAAAACTGACATACAACATCTCAGTATCACTGTCCCTTACTGTCTGTTCAACAATATCTCGCTAGATCGTCTAGTAACACAAAAACAGCATTTGTTTACATTACAATGTCGAAGTGCAATGTGTATTGCATCAATAATTCAGGTAAACAATAAGATAATGAAATAACATGAACAAGAAAACATTTCTAATAAATTTACAACTGGGGATGCTACTTTACTACACAAAAAAACAACACTCCACCATCAGCCTGTGATTAATTAATATGCAATATTCTAAAGTCCAACCCCCATGCATATTACACTTCCCCCCACTTAAAAAGTCAAATTCTCCTGAATTTACAGTCTTAATCAAAATCGTCTGGTTCTGCTAGTTTCTTACTTCCATCATCAATGAAATCTTTATTCTTCCTGCATTCAACCGCTTCTTGCGGAAATTCTCACACATCTGCCTGCTCGTCTGATACCATTTCATCTACTTCTTTCTCCATCTCTTCGTCTCATCTCTGCTACTTCTTTCTCCATCTCTTCGGCTCCACCATGAAAATCCACCATCCACCCCAAGTATAAAGTATACAGCTCCCTATGCATAAGCTAGTACAAGATTGGAAATTCTTGTTAGAATTGAATGTATGTAGTTGATAAAGGTAGGTTCCTATGGAAAGCAGTCAATCAATCAGTCGGGTCTAATTCTTCATTGTTTTTGTAGATTCTTCCCAGGATCAGGAAGTCACATCAATTATCCATTTATAATTCTAATTCCAGAAGTAGATTGATCCCAACAAAAGTATCAGTCCGGCCCAGCCCTAGACAACTGTTTTCCACCTACAGTCCGGCCCAGCCCTAGACAACTGAGGTCCACCTACAGTCCGGCCCAGCCCTAGACAACTGAGGTCCTAATGTGCACTAATAGTTATGGCCAGTCACTATCTACACATTCACCTAGTGTGGTGCACCACCTAGGACAACATCCACCATTGACATGTGTCAATATAATAAAACAAAACAAAAAAAATCTGGTATCATCATGCTACTGTCTGACATCATTTAGTTTTGTGGTATGAACTTCCTGAACCAGGGTGGTAAGTTGATGCCTCGATATATCATCAACCTATCCTATAAATTAAGTCAAGTCATCTAGTTGTCCTGTTACAAGGTCCTTTTCATTTTGAAGTTAATACAGCAAACCCATCCTTTGGCAATTTATCTTTGTGATGTAGTTAAGAAGAAAGTCCTTTCCAAGGATCCTATCTTGTGAAATTTTGCAAATTACAAATTCGTGTGGCAATGCTTCTTTCCCAAAAGATACATCCAGTACAATGGTCCTGATGTTCTCTATTAAATTCCCATTTACATCCTGAATGTCAGAGGTTGCAGGCCGTATGTTAAAGCTAGTTTCCTTTGAGAGTTTAGTAAAATTTTTAACTAAATAATCCATGCAGTCGATCCACTATCCTAGAAAATATATTGTTTTGTCAAATATGTTTCCTTTTGTATAAAATCCATTGTCCCGTAAGAGAGTTATATCCCCTGTGTGGCCATTCCTAGTATGTTCATTTCCAACAGAAAGACATTCCTCTTGTGCCGACTCCTGACTTAATGATATCTGTTATCTCTCATGTTTCAACTGCCATGTCTTTTATTCAGGTTAGAGGTCGGGGTCATCTGTTGTCCTCTTGTCCATCGGTCTGGGCAGTCCTTCATGAGATGATCTGGTGAATTGCAGATGAAGCAAGTCCAAGAGTTATTGCCCTTCCGAGGTTCCATTCTCTGTGCACTTTCCAGTTTCTCTAATCTATTGATTAGTGACTTGATTGTATCCTCTAAGTTATTTGATTTTTGCTCTCCAGTGGGCTGTTTGACTGCTTGTTCTTGATCCACATGTCTAACATTTATTTTCTTTTTATCCCCATCCCCCATTATTGACTCGTATCTCTCAATGACGTCTACCGCTTCTGCAACAGTGCTACACTCCTTGTCAATACAACGGCATTTCATTTCAACGGGAATAATTTTGTAAAGGTGGTTCAGGGCCAGTGATTCCTGAGCGTCAATGTCCAAGTTACTGTAAGCTTTTTGTGATAATTGCCGTATATCGTCTCCAACATCTGCAATATCTTCTCCAGGCATCCGCCTACGCATTTCCAGTTTTGAAAGCCACCTATTTTTGTGCTTTGAACTACCAAATCTCTGGTCCATACGCTGAACAAGAATTTTAAACGTGCGTCTTTCCTCAAGTGTTAGGCTCATGTAGAAAGTCCTGGCTTGTCCACGTAAGCTAGCGGCTAAGAAAAGAAGTTTAGTCCTGTCGTCCCAGTGGCTAAGTTCAGCGCAGTCTTGAAAGTGAGAAAAGTATTCCTCCCAACTTTCTTTTTCCATCGTAGGGTTCGGGTTTGATCATAAGTGTAGAAATGCGATTGTGATCACTTTGTGCGTCGTCAGCTAACTGATAATCAGATCGCCGACGGAAATTATGTCCTCCTTCGTCGTCATTGTCATCACTGTCATCTCTTTCCAAAGGATTTTCATTTGCCATTAAATATTCGTCATCAGTGTTCCTCCCACAGACATCTGTTTCGTCCCCTTGGCCTAACTGAACATTTTCCTTATGTTCATTTATAAATACTACAGGATCCGGCGAAGTAGCATCCTCCATTTTTAACTATAAAAACAGTAACAAGAACATATGTACATCGTTATTTTAAAAATAGATTTTTTTTCCTCCACCACACGACAGTCCGCAATCCACTCTATTTCAGTACTTGACAGGTATTAAAGTACGGGTTCGTATCCTAGATGTCCTCGTATATGGTAGGACATCCCACTTCTGACACCAAAAATTGTAAGCTTCCTCAGCACCCTGTCAAATGCCAATCAGCTTACAATGTTTCCATCCCGTGTAAATTCAATAAATTTAATTTTATCAGGACTACTCATGACATCCGTCCACATATAAAAAAAGGGGGGGCATCCTCAGCCCGTCACATGTATTTAAACACCCTTGATAATTTACTTCACATCCTTGTAAATCATAACCAAGTTCCATTTTTCGTTTCAAATATTTCATTTAATAAAGACTTCAAAGTTCAATGAAATATAACAAAACAGTCAGTACATCTATGAGTATATAAAGTCCTAGCTTAACATCTCTGGCCTAATAAAACACAGTGGATTGCGGTGTCCGTGCGGTGGAGAAATTATACACTACTTAATTTGTATTAGTTTACATTATTTTCTTTTACCTAAGTCACTAGTAATTTACAGTCAGTGATGTTGATGACATAATATGATCTGATCGTTACGATCGTCGTGATGAAACTGGCGTTCGCTGCTCATATATATAACCTTCCATAAATGGTCACGTGATCACAACAACCAATGAATAATTGTCCTTTCTGGAGCAACTCGGAACTACTTTACATACATTTTGTGTAATACAAAGAAAATAACATCGCTCAAAATGTCCTTTCTACATGTAAAGTGGGAGCTATAAATTCTATTCGATATACATTAGAAAACAAGTTCAACAAACAATCTGTAATAAAACGGACACACACAATCCATGGCGTAGTAATACCGAACAATAATGCAAACACATAAGTATTACGCTACACATTCAAGTTCCAAAACATTTCGTCAAATAAAACATAATTAATGGCAATAGCTGCAATAAAATAACATTTAAGTATCAATTATGAATATTTGAGGACACGGACAGTGTTATTTCGATCTTATCAATTGTAAAACAACAATGTTTATGTCACATGACTAATTTCTTCGTAAGAAAGATGGCAGGCGCCCAATTTACAACACATGTGATAATGCTGAAATAAGTAAGTAAATTACAGTCGTAATATGGTAGATAATGATGAAAAACTGACATACAACATCTCAGTATCACTGTCCCTTACTGTCTGTTCAACAATATCTCGCTAGATCGTCTAGTAACACAAAAACAGCATTTGTTTACATTACAATGTCGAAGTGCAATGTGTATTGCATCAATAATTCAGGTAAACAATAAGATAATGAAATAACATGAACAAGAAAACATTTCTAATAAATTTACAACTGGGGATGCTACTTTACTACACAAAAAAACAACACTCCACCATCAGCCTGTGATTAATTAATATGCAATATTCTAAAGTCCAACCCCCATGCATATTACAGCTTTTTAAAATTTTGCAAAGAATGATTGAAAAATTTGATATTCCGAAATATCTGGGGTATGTTCAAAATGCTGTTTTGTTAATTTTTTCTGGTCAACAATAATAAAATATGTGTTTTTGTTAACCTTAGATATAATTCTTTATAGTTTTAAAGAAAAATGGTACATAAACAATTTAAATTTTGAGATTTTTAAAAATAAAGATATTTTGAGATTTTTTTCTGACAGACGTGGACAGATACAACATAAATTTTCAATGTTTTTCAGAGAAATTTTCAAATATTCTCCTGGAATTATATTAATTATATCTGATTTTCACAAGTTTTAACATGAATTTGATGTGATTTGGTGCATAGCAAAATAAAATATGATACCAGACTTCTTTATGTTCAATTTTGGCTGTTAACTTCTAAGAGGTAGGTACTCTGAGACTTGTTGTATGAAAATTAACCTGCAAAGATGTGTCTTTTATGGGTGTTTTACTTCCTTTATGAGTTATTTAAGGTATTTAAATAGAAAAATATTTTAGTTTGACAGAAATTTTTAAAAGTACCTACCTTAAGGCACAGAAATTTTTAAAAGTAACTACCTTAAGCATGAGTTAATTGTCTACAACATACAGTACAGGCAACGCGGATCCCGTATTTCCCGCGTCCCCGCCGCGGTATAATCACAACGCGGTATTTGGCCAGGTAGACAGGTAAACCGCGTTCCCTCCGCGGGAATTTCATCACCTACCTGTCCCCGCCGCGGTTAAATCATCGATCAATTACTGACAATTAGTATCGTAAACAAACGGGAGTTATCTCCCCGAATTGTAATTTGCGAATTTTCCCTGTAACAAAACAAAAAACAACAAAAAAACCATGTGTTTATTAATTAATTTTGCTATGAATAGAATTAAAACTAAGAAAAAATAAGTTTATTTTTGTTTCTAAAATTGCATATCAATATTTGAAATTGAATAGAAAATTTTATTAAATTGTTACGTCTTTGCAATGGTTAATTATTTTGTGATATTAAGAATCTATCAAGAAACAAAATTAAATACTAGAAATTTTAATTCGTTTTTTTTTTAAATCTTCATATTATATGCAAACTGTAATAAATGTTGAACTCAGACTGTTTAAGTTTCGATAAACGATTTTCAGCTTTCATTTGAAAAAAAAAGATGTACATCTTTAAAAATATGTACATCTTTATATTGTTTATTAATTAATTTCGATTTATTGTATATAAAATGTACAGGTTTTTTTCTTAAAGTGTCAAATTAACGGAAAAAATCCGATGACGAGCATTTGCAGTTACATGTAGAGGGCACGTGAACTTAAATTTTCTTTATCCAAGATATCAAGAAAAAAGTTCTTTTCTTCTTTATTTCTCATCGTTTATGTTCTGTTCCCAAATTAAGAAAACTTTTCTTTAATTTATTTCCCTCTTTTATATAAATGTGCAGGCATTTTTCTCAAATTGTCAAATGACCGAAAAGCATTCGATGGCGAGAGTTAACTTTGAGCACGTGAACTTTATACAAGGGATCAAGAAAAAATATCGTTTTTCCCCTTCATATTAACATGTATTACTTTTTAAAACAATGTCTTTCATTTTAATTTTAATATTTCTCGATTTTCGTGTTCAATAGACAA